ACTCGCCTCTCCCCAAAATGCCTTTTTGTTGTTCAAAACACTCAGTCTATATTCTGACAGTATCTCTGTGCAACTATTGCCCATTCTCACGGTTCAGAGCTGAAAAGAGCCCGTGTGGACCTGGCTTTCCTTGTCAACATGAGAAGGCCAAATGCCATGCCATGACCAGCCTTGTCTCTCTCACTCCACGGAGAATCAAGGAATGGAGCTGCAGGAAGCAGGTGGGCGGGAAGAAGGCAGTCCTGCAGAGCCATGTCCTTGGCTGGGAGAAAGGGGGTCTTGTTGGATTCTCTCAGAGGGGCCCTGCCTCCTCTTCAGCTGACTTCAAGCAGCAGAGTTGGGCAGGTCCTCTCCCTGATGGCTGCTGATGCCACTTCAAAACAGGCAACATTGAGGGTGACAGTGCAATGATCTGAGTGAGGAGGGTCGCTTCCTAGTCTGCCTGTTAACGCATTCATTCATTTTAGAATGAAATGACTTGACATTCAATGAAAAGCGATGAAAAGCCACATATGAGTCAAAATGACAGAATCAGGACTTATTCAATGGAGCCCTTGTTTTCAACAGCTCCTTCCAACCCCTCATCCTAGAGTTTTATGCTGAAATGAGCACAGCTGACTGGATGAGAAGAAATTTAATATTGTCTGGCAAGAACTGTCTCCCCAGGTGCTGTGACAGGGAAAGGCACGGTGTGCTCCCTGGGCCTGGCATCTCTTTGTGTTAACATCAAGAAGTGACAAATGGAAGAAAGCAAAGAACAGATGGTGGCACATTTCTGCATTGCCACAGCGCTGGCAGCCTCAGGAACAGTACAGACCAACTTTAGCAGCAGCTTGTCTGTTTAACCAGTGACATCACCAAAGTAAAGAAAACCCAGGGGATGCAGATGTCACCAGGTCATGACCCAAATCAGGTATGATGTGCATAACCCCACCCCCACCCCCAATGATGCTGATGTCACCAGCATCATCTCCAGCTGAGTTCAAGGCAAGCCATTTTTAACTCCAAGTTCTAGATCTAAGTTAAAGTTATTCAATCATTTCTAGTCTTCACATGCTCAACTGTGTGATTGTAAAGGCTATTCCAACTCACACAACTTATTTACTTATGTATGTATCAAATTTACTTGCTTCCCATCTTGCAGTTCAGGTGATTCTGAGCAGTTGCCTGTGTATGTTTAAAACTGAATGGTGTTGGTGGCCACAAACCCAAGTGCAAAAGTTGTCCCACATCCCAGAATGCTGGAGAATTTTTGTCACATACTTGACATGCTTCAAGATACTGGACTGAATGCAGATAACTGGGGGTTCCTGATTCCAGACAAGCCTGAAATTGCACCAAGATGAATGTGCTTGCCTGCTGCAGATGGAAAGGCAGGCTCTTTGTCTCTGTTTAATGTGGGGCACCCTAAAAGCAATAGGATCCTTTTCAGCATTTGAGCAGGAGGACGAGGGGAGGGGTGTGTGAATCTTGTGGTTTCAGCATAGGAAGGTGGGTGGTTAAGCAATATGAAGTATGTATGTAGAGAGACAGACAGACAGACAGACAGAGACAGAGGGAGGGAGGGAGGGGAGAGAGAGGGGGGATTAACTGCAAGCCATTTAATATCTCTGTAGAGTTCCTGTTTGGGAACACAACAGAGATCCTAATAGATTTTCACAGCTAGTTTAGAATAGAATAGAATAGAATAGAATAGAATAGAATAGAATAGAATAGAATAGAATAGAATAGAATAGAATAGAATAGAAAACAGAGTTGGAAGGGATCTTGGAGGTCTTCTAGTCCAACCCCCTGCCCAGGCAGGAAACCCTACACCCCTTCAGACAAATGGTTATCCAACATCTTCTTAAAAATTTCCAGTGTTGGAGCATTCACTTCTGCAGGCAAGTTGTTCCACTTATTAATTGTTCTGTCAAGAAATTTCTCCTTAGTTCTAAATTGTTTCTCTCCTTGATAAGTTTCCACTCATTGCTTCTTGTTCTACCCTCAGGTGCTTTGAAGAATAGTTTGACTCCCTCTTCTTTATGGCAACCCCTGAGATATTGGAACACTGCTATCGTATCTCCCCTATTTCTTCTCTTCATTAAACTAGACATACCCAGTTCCTGCAACTGTTCTTCATGTTTTAGCATCCAGTCCTCTAATCATCTTTGTTGCTCTTCTCTGCACTCTTTCTAGAGTCTCAACATCTTTTTTACATCATGGCGACCAAAACTGAATGCAATATTCCAAGTGTGGCCTTACCAAGGCATTATAAAGTGGTATTAACACTTCACCTGATCTTGATTCTATCCGTTTATGCAGCCTAGTTGTTTCAAACTAAAATTTTTTGAAGCATTAAGAAAAATCTAAACATTGTGATAATTATCCTTTTTGAAATAAGATGCCATATACGTTGGAGGACTATTTTTGTCCTTTTTTCTAGAAGCCCAGGAGAAGGGGTATGCTTTTCTAAAGATGGTTGTCTGGCCAGAGTATGGGGACACAGTGAATCTTCAAGAGGAGATAAATATATTGAACAAATATGGTTGGAGCTGTTCCCGTTTGCTTCCAAAAATACACAGTGGAGGAACTGGATGGGAGGGAGTGGGGATGCTGGTTGTTTCTATTATTTGATGGGTTAAGACCCAGGTCTCCCATCCTTTGAAGTCACTTTTCCCTAGTGGTTTATGCTATACCATGCACACACCCTGCTGCTGAATTGGTTCTGAATCACAGTTAAAGAACCCCAATTCAGCAGTTGAGACCTGGGGGTGGGGAGTAGGCTGCCAAAGACTTTCTGTGCCCTCTCATATTGAAATTGGTGAACAGAAAGGATTTCTTTTTCCTTCTTCTGAATAAAAAGTGCCCATACCCTACTTGTGGTCAGTGATGCTCAGGGAAACGTTACACACTTGGCTGTAGGTCAACCACAGATAAAATGGTACACAAGGAAACAGCGACATCTGCTGGCTTGTAATGTTGCAGAGAACTTGAAAATTTGTACATTGCTTCCACCAACAAAATGATTAATTACTATCTAATCAGATGAGGAGAGCCAATTTGGTGTAGTGATTTAGGCACTGGGCTAGAAAGTGGGAGATAGTGAGTTCTAGTCCTGCCTTGGGCGCAAAGCCACCTTGGGCCAGTCACTCACTCTCAGCTCTAGGAGGGAGGCAATGGCAAACCACTCTTGGAAAACCTTGCCAAGAAAACAGCAGGAGCTTCTCCAGGCAGTCTCTGAGGATCAGACATGATTGAACGGAATAGAAAAAAATATTTCAATGTGGTATTGCTTCACAAAGCTTAAGGTTAGGGGAACCTTTTCCAAGGGTATTTGTTTCACGACCACTTCATTCAGCAACTAAGATTCCAGCCCCAACCGTGATCATTAAGTGTAAGCAAGGACTACCTACAAATGGTTGGGAGGGTTTGTTTTGTTTTAATTTTGAGCTTAAGACAAAGTCCAATCTCTTGTCACTGTAATTATCCTGACTATATTTAATTAATTTCATTGATTTAAGAATAGGCTTCAGTTGTGGGGTTTATTGTATTTGCTAACTGGCCAAAGTCGGTAATTAAAATGTATTCATTCATTATACAATTTTAAGTATTATATTAATTCAAATATAGCACATCAAGATGAAATTCTGCAAACTGGGAAAAAAACATGTTGCATCAAAAAAACATAAGACATGGATACACAATACAGAAGGAAAATACATCACAACTGAACAATAACACTTTAAAGGTTACAGCATCAACTCAAGTTACAATAATCACCTAAAGACAAATTATACTTTATTTCCTACCAATAAAGATATGGGCCCTTTCATAGTTGCATTGGCGGACGTGATCCTGAGACCAACTGAGAAATGTGATAACTCTTTCAATGTTTCCATCTTGTGACGTCCAAGTTGCATAGAGTGTCATGAAAAAGGAAAAACTGTTTTATGATTGCCTTTTACAGTGACATCTAAACATGTCAGAATTGTAAATTATTCAGCCACAGTAGGGACAGTATTTTTATCTAAGCAATTTATTGCCTCTGAAAATGCTACCATCTCTGCAATGGGGGTTAACAACCCTGATCTTTCTTCTAGTATATGATTGTTCCCATATATGATAATATCACAAGGCTTTGTCATGCCAGTGAACAAAAGCAGACTCAGAAATACCTAAGGTAAGCAGTAATAATTGCATGTGTGTATACAGGTTATATTTTGCTGCTCAAAGATTTAAAGCCATATGGGATACTCGGATGATCTATTAATTTCTGAAGAGTAGCATAAAATATTTTTACTAGCTACATACCCTAATCAGCTGCCCATCTAGAACCACTTCCAAGGGGTGAAATTATACTCTTAGCATTCTCATAAAAATGTTTCAGTTTTAAAATGCTACCGTATTAACTTATGAAAGGAACTTTGAAACTGAAAGACTTATGAAAGAAAGAAGAGTTGTTTGAATCAAATCAACTTGTTCCTCCACTTCTTCCTTTATACCTAAATAAAATATTGATTTAGGAAACTGAGCTTCAAAACACGGCTAGAAAAGGAAAGAAATCAGTGCATACATGGTTAGGACAGTATTTAAAAGCCCCCATTTGTAATTCAAACAAATTAGAAGAAAATTGCCTATGATTTAATATTGTAGTTAAGATAACAACATTGTTATCTAAGCTTTCTTCTGAGTTTTCTTCTATCTCCTTCTATCCTGGTGCAACTATATTCTAACACTAACGTTTATCCACACTGGATTTCAGAAGTCTTGTTTTTATCATTCAAGCCCAGCTCATCATCTTTCTTGAAGATTTCGCCTGCTTTAAATGGTGAACTCAGAGCTCCCTTTTCTGGTGGTGAAAAAGAAATAGGCCTCACGTGGCCTTGGAGCCCCATAAAGACACCCCCACCCACCCACCCACCCATCCCCAGTTCAGCTGCCATTCAGACACAAGGGAAACTACCGTATTCGCATTTGGTGCATCAAGGCTCCCCACGACAGAGACCAGCAGAGCTGAATTCAGTCACAAGCAGCCTTGTTTATACAGCTAGCGCTCCGTCTACACTGACTTTCCTATGTTGGGCGGATGCTTTAAGAGTTCATGTTTTCAGACCCTGAAGTGGAATGCAGCCCAGTGTATACAATGCTTCTCTTCGCATCTTGAGTTGCAATTAAAAAGATGAGTCTGAAGTCTTGGATAACTGCAGGCTGTCCTTACTGGGAATCCCTACTCTGGATGTTCTTCAGAGCTTCAAGAGCTATTTCATAGCAAAACACGTACTGTTCCTGGGTGAGGAGAAGGAGAAAACAGCCAGTTATTTTCCCAGCAGAGGCTGAAGGAAATAGATAATCTATCAGGTTTCAGCATGTCCACACAAATTCACTGAAGTAGAGTTATTTGGTATCTGTCGTAGTCAAAACAGTTAAAAAGGGACCCTTTAAAGACATGCAATGCTGGTGTTCTAATAAACAAGGACTCAGCCATCTGCTGTGTCCAGTTTTACTTTGCTGCTTGCCTCTATCTGAACTTGTGCTTTTGTTCTCCTGTACGAGCATTTTCCTCTGTACCCGTACATCTGTGTTATTCACTCTGTGTCTTCCCAAATTGTTCTCCTAAACTTCTTGGAGGGAACCGACCACTTGGCCTTCTTCCCTCCAGGCAACAGCTTTGCTTGCTATGACATCTCGGCAGCTCATTGGAGGATCAACTTCATTTAAGCAGGGAAACAATAGACAGGAGCGCAGGGGTGGGTGAGAGAAGGGGGCTGAGAGAGAAGTCCAGATGTGCTGCAAGAAGACCAAAGGGAATCTGTTCCACCCCAAAGGAAGGCAGCTGTCAGTTCGAATCTTCACACCTCTAAAGGGGGAAGGTGCCAAGAATAGTAAGAAGGTGAGAGAAGGTGGGGGGGGGCTTCACCATCTCACCTGGGCTCTCCGATGGGACATCTCGGAAAGCTAAAAGCAAGTCAAAGTAACACAGGCATCTGGCATAAGGAGGACACGTTCTCCTTCTGCCCTCATGTCTGATCTGACACTGTGAAGCAGATTGGCTTTGTGTCCGGTATCCGCTTGGGTGGGGGGATTCACTCTGATGGATTGAATCTGAACTGATGCTCCTCTTGGCAACCTGGCACAAACCTGGGAGCTGACCTATCCTTCCCAAGCATAAAATATGGCGACGTTTTGTATACTTAACCTGGCCTGGCTTGTGCAAAAAAGCAGCAGCATTCCTCACCTTGGTTTGGATCATTCCAAAGCGCTGGTTTCTCATGTGGGTCACTATCTGCTTGATGTCAAACTGCAGCATAAGAAAAAAAAGGCTATTTGTTACCGGGCATTGCATGGAGGGTCTCATTGTTATTCTTAACATTTACATAGCAATTTCTAATTTGCAGCAATGTTTTGGTTATAGGGACAAAGTTTTGCAAAGAGGGGCTACACTTCTATTTTTACAGATGGTGATGGTCCCTGAGATTTCTGGGGGAAGCAACACACACTCCTTTGAGAAAATAAACCAACTTTAAAGACCCATTTCTGCTCCTGAAGCTCCCCAAAGAAGCTGAACCTTTTAACTCTGTCAGTCTTGGGATAAGAGAATCAGTAATAATGGAACCCAAAAGACTCGATTTGAAGATGAATCTTGGCAGCCATTCTGAAACTGCATAAGGATTTATTCTTAATCTAATTAATTGTGTAATTACCACACAATCTAAAGTGTAGGCAGTGATCACACCCTGGGAACTAAGCAGGAGATATTCTTGATTTTCCTTTCTAAAAAGTTCTTTTGCAATGTGGTTCTAAATGCTTTAGAAATGCAGAGCTCAGACTCAGAAGCAGGCATTGGCTTCAGATGAAATGGTGCCTCTTGCTGTTTCTATTTTAGAATCCTTTAAAATAAACATTTTAATCACATACAGTTCATATCAGCCAGGCAAAAATAGTTTCCAGAGGACAGGAACAGCCATGGGACTGGAAGGACAGAATGACAGAAAGGGAGACTCCTTTGCTTGGGTTTTTTCTCACCCAAGTATTTATTTAGGCTGGTTACATTTTATGCTGCTGAAGCTTTAAGAAGGAAACCCTCTTCCAATTTTCTCTCATTCTTTGCAACAGGATAAGCACAAACAAGTTTGCTTTGGTACTTACACACAAATCCTTTTCTATGTAAATCAACACAATATCCACGCAAAGCAGCACCCCGCTTCTTCCGATCCCAGCACTGCAGTGAGCAATGACCGGGCCTGACTGGTGAGTTTTTCTCATGTAGCGAACAAATTTGACCAGGTGCTGTAACGATTTGGGAGTCCCGTGGTCTGGCCAGTTCGTAAACTGGAGGTGCTGCACAACCCGCCTTTCCTGTGTCTGCAACAGAAAGAAACACGGGCACATGGAGCACTCTTAATGCAATTCCTAGAATCAGAGAGTCAGAAAGGATCTTGCGGACCCTTGCTCAACGCAGGCTTTGCTAAACACCTTCTCTGGCAGGTGGCAATCTCTGGCTGAGGAGAAGCCCCCATGTGGCATGGCAGCCTCTTCCACCGTCTGGGATCCCCAGAGCTGGAAAAGTCCCCCTGCTCACAAGGGAGCGCTTTTGCAGCCAGACATACCTGGTGGCGCAGTGGTTAGAATTCAGTACTGCAGGGCTAACTTACTGCCCACTGCCAGGAGTTTGATCCTGACCGGCTCAAGATTGACTCCGCCTTCCATCCTCCCGAGGTGGGTAAAATGAGGACCCAGATTGTTGGGGGCCATAGGTTGACTCTGTAAATTGCTTAGAGAGGGCTGCAAAGCACTGTGATGTGGTATATAAGTCTAAGGGCTACTGCTATTGCTATTAGCAATGTCATTTTCGGGACAGACTGTACACACTGACAAGCAGAGCACAATTTTGTTACAGCTCAGCTACAAAACAAAATTGCAAATGTCTTGTTTTGTCCAAGAGTAGATGCATTTCTAATGGAAGATTCATGCCTAAAATGTTTCTTATCATTGGCTGCCACAACATATACAAATCTGTTTATTAATTGAAAAACCGAATGCTGCATTGACATTTGTCGTGTTTATTGTGTTTGGGGTGCCTTACCAGTTTGTTGATCATTTCTATGATTCTAATGACAAAATAATCCAAGATTTGGTAGTTGAGTAGTTGCAGCCGAAAGCGAAGTAAATCCAAAGAATTGTGAGGTGGCTCAGGCCAATATCGGTGGCATTTGGATACTCCGTGTTCCTGTTCTCTTGTAATCATAGCAATGACGTTGGAGTTGTTCTCCCAGACCATTTGCCAGAAGTCATGGGTGGTAGAAAGCAGCGGGCCCTGTGTGGAGATGTACCAGAGCTCTTCTGTGCCCACTGGCACATGGATGTAACTGGCGTTGATGTAGCCCTTTGCCTCTCCAATGGGTACACGGGTGGCATCATCTAAAAAGGGAAGGGAGGGAGGAAAAGGAGGGAGGGAGGAAAAGAGGGAGGGAGGAAGAGAGGGAGGGAGGAAGAAAAGCAACCCCAATGGGCTTTTTTTGATTATTCAGTCACCAAGGTATTCATACAGAAACATTGACAGAGAAATACAGTATATCTGTTTAGATGTTTATATATAGTGCTATTTTTTCTGATTTTCCCTATTTTGTTAGTTGTCCTGGAAATAATACTATTCAAGAATACTATTCAATAATACTATTCCAATACAATTTACAATTGTAAAAATTGTAAAGAAATAAAATGCTACATCGTAACTGTCTGAGAGAGAGAAAGAGAGAGAGAGAGAGGAAATAAAATAAGATGTTATAAATTAAGCAACAAATGTAATACTAAACCTTCTGGCTACTGACATGCAACAGTGCTTAAAAGTTTGAAATTTCAGTATTCCTGCTTAAATATGGCGTAAAATATGGTCCTGAAACTAGACAACCAATAAAAAATGTGATATTTGTCTATTTATCCTTTTGAGCAAAATGATCCAAAGCTGCATATATTTGCGGCTATGTGGGGGAGCGGACCGGGGGGGGGGGAGAGTCTAAAATGGCAGCCCCAGAGCCCCCCTTTAAGGCCATCGTTCTGCCCTCCTATTCATGGCTGCACAGTGGGAGAGAGAGCTGGAATCCCCCCAGTTAGAACAGAACCAACATTGTGCAGTCTAAACATTAAATATGGACCAGGGGTCTCATTTAACTTGGTCTCAGATTGATATTCACCACCTTGTCACTGAGCTGCCAAAAGCAGAATGTGTTGCCCTCGTGGCAGTGCCAGCCCCGCGCTATGGATGCCCATTGAGATCAGACTGGCCCCTCTGTGTGGCCTTTAGGGATCCCCTGGAAATGAAGCTTTCCAAGCAGTCTTTCACAAACATCACACCCTCCCCCCCAACCAGTGGCCATTCATTTTTGAAAATGAAAAACAGCCTGAAAATGGCCAAAAAACAGCCCAGAAAACAGCCCAAAAAATGAGCGGGGTGGAGCCAGCCAGTGATGGGATTTGCCAAACTGCACAGAATCTTAACTACTGATTCACTCGAACCGATGCGAACCGGCAGTAGCCCACCTCTGCCCCAACTCTCGCAGGTCTTGTCGTTCCTACTCTCCTAAATTGGTTTTTGTTTTGAGATTTGGATTGTATGTTTTTTCATCCTGTTATTTTTATTACCATATTGTAAACTTCAAGAGACTTCAGTGGGATGAAAATAGTATAAAAAAACAAAGAAGTATTTCTTACATGGGAGAATATCCCGGTATCTGTTCTTTTCCCGGTTTTCTGGTGTTTTGGCAACCTGGCAGTCATCCAGGGGCTTCAGGTGTTCTAAACTCTAACCCAAAGATAAAATCAGGTATATGATTTGTTTAAACAAGCACTTGCTTATTTTAGTTAAAGGAGCAATTGAAGGGGTCAGACATAATGAGGATTGTTTGGATTTGCCTAGCACACTATATAAAACCAGTGACTTATTCAATATGTTGTGATTAACAAAATATGCTTTAGTTTAGCTCCCTTGGAAACTTTTGATTGGCCGATGCTCTTTTCTGAGTACAAACTTGGTGATAAAATGTAGCTTTATCTCTGTGTGATGTATAAATTGACCACTAAAAATGGATGTGATTTCCCACCCCAGTGACCTTTACTTTCAGGTGTGTGGTCTTTCCAGGTTCAAAACCAACCTAAACATACAATGAGCATCACCTCCATTTTGTAGAATCTGGTAGGAAGGAAAACCACAGCAATGAAATTGAGGAATCTGTACACAAAATGGAACCCATAAGTTCATTTCTTGGAAACTGTTTTTGCCTGGAATGTAATAACGAAAGTTTGGATAGACGGTAAAGAGAACTCACCAAAAACTCCTTCAGGATCTCCTGTTCTTCCATTTGTCTTTGAATCTTCTGGATTAGTTGTCTGGCATTATGTCGCAGACCACATTTTGACCGTGATGGCTTGATCAGTGCCAGTTGGGTCAACTCCTCTTCACTGACAACTGATGGCCCTTCAAAGGATCAGAAAATGATTACCAGTTGAAGAGATTGAACGGTCTCTATAGCTCTATCCAGACCATGCTAACTTCATTCTCCATTCACAGATTAAACTTTCAAGGGCTGCTGGAATAATAAAGGGCAAGTGAACGTGTTCTCGCTGAGGGGCTGAAACCTGAAAGCCCTTGTTTCCTGCATTTGTTGTTTGTTCAATTTCTATGGCTGCCCATCTCAGTCAATGACTTTGGACAAGCTTACTGTTCATAAAATATATTACAATTAAAAATAAAACATTTTAAAACAGTAAAACCAGTAAAACCAATAAAAAACTTTAAAAACATCTCTCTCTCTCTTTCTCTCCCTCTCTCCCTCCCTCCTCCCTCTCATTCTTTTTCTCAGTCCAAAGTACCTTACAGGGTTGTTGTGGTAGGAAAAAGGAGGATTAGGTAAATTCACTACCTTGAATTATTTGTAAAATAATAAAGGTGGGATATAAACAAACAAGCAAACAAATTCAGATCTGTAGATGGCAACTTAGCCAAACCACTTCCTTGCTTTTGCCAAATAAAGTACATGGTCCCAGGGAAAAGCTTGCTTTAAAGAAGGCTTTATCTTTATCTACTCATTATAATCCAAAGCACACTTTCTACACGAGTGATGCCACACGGAAGAGGGCTTAGCCTTCAATGGCATTAAAAGATCACCATAAGGAAAATTCTAAGGTGGATACCTTGGGGCAGCATGGTCAGCCTTTGGACTTCATCTTCATCACTGCTGTAACCGTCTGTTCCTAGAGTTTCCCGCCTTCTTTGTGCCTTAGCGTAAACTCTCTGAGGGCTTTAGAACAGCGTTATTCATTTAAGAATTGCAGGTAGACACTTATACACTTATATTCAAATCCCCAAAATGAAAGCAACTGCAAACAAGCATTAGCTTCCCCCTCTCGTTTACCATAGAGAGTTTTTCAGAAGGAACATGGCAATAGAGACATTGGATTCATTCATGGGTTAAGAAATAGGCCTGTCAGGGACTGTCAGGAGGACTCTGTCACCTGAGTACCCTGGTTCGTGAATGCCCGTGCCAGGTGGGGTCAGCTTGTATGCTGGAGACGCAGTCTCTTCTGTTCACAAAGGCCAGTTGAGGTCCTCCATTTAATATAGGACCTGAAAACAGTTCTTACTTATTGCCTCAAGGCTTTCCCTGACTCACAGAGATAAGTAACTGAAACTAGAGGTACAGGTAGTCCTTGCTTAGTGACCCCAGTTGGGACAGGCAACTCTTTTGTAGTGTAGAGGTACTTGCTCTTTTGAGATCCCTCTGCAATCTCTCCACTTTGTAAGGACAGGTATGCAGCGGGGGGGGGGGGGTGAGGGTGAGGCAATTGCTTGCGTTTTCTCTCTCCGCCACCTTGCAGAGTAGAGAGATTGAAGAGGAGGAGATTTCAGGACAGGACAGTCGGGGGCTGCTTGCACAGTGCCCCTGGGGTTCCCAGCCCCATGTGCCAGTGCAGCTGCATTGCTTTTGATGTGTAAAAGAACAAGCAGCTTTCTCTCTTGTAATCCCCCTCCTCTCCAATCTCTCTGCTACGCAAGGGGGACAGGGGAGAAAGGAAAAACGACAACAGGTCAAGCACAGGACAAGCCATAGTGACCGCAATGGTGGTCACATGACTGAGGTACACTGTGAAGGTCATACATACACAGTAAATGGGATGTACAGCTGTCTTTACAGCACCATCGTAACTTTGAAAGGTCTCAGAATGGATGATTGTTAAACGAGGACCACCTGTATAGTGATGATTCTTCAGTTTGAACTTCTTGATGATTTCTCTCACTGGCTTCATACAGAGGTTAAGAAGAAGCCCAGTGACAGAGGGCTGATCTTTGTGTCCCTCTCCCACCGGGCCATCGCCTTGGACTCCTCCACGCAGGACTGCATTACAGGGCCTGACAGCCGAAGGAGAACCGGCCAGGCTGCAGAGCAGAGGCTAAATGGACAGGGGTATGAGCGGGGCTGGGCCTCTTTGCCTGCGAAAGGGAAGAGGAAGCTTACAGACTCTGCTTTCTTCTACATGTCTGAAGGGGAGCCTTTTTAAAAGGAGAGAAAGCAGCATCTGTGGTCGGTGGGCTAGACGCACCGGTCAGAACCTCCTGGCCAAAGACAGTTACGTCTGTACATAAAAAATGAGCTGGCAAGTACATATCTGAGGAGTTTTATAATCTTGATGGGCTTTAAACTCTTACCTGTCAGAAATGTTTTCAGAATTCCCTGGCCAATCCTCTTTGGTTGCAGGGAAGGCTCGGTTATCTGTTTCCTTAAAAAACAAAGCCTTAATGAATGACCTTTAAAAAGGGCAAATGAAGACAATCTTAGACAATCAATATATGTCCATAAACAGGATACTTGTAACTTTTCATCCAGCTAGCAAAATCTTTTATTTGTTTTTAATTATATTTGACTCCAGTTTTTCCTTACAAAATATCCATGAAGAGATTAGAGCAGAGAGGTTAATGCTGGAACTGTGTTGAATATTTTGGAATATTTGGAACAAACAGTAATGAAAAACAAAAGCTGTGTGGATCTTTTCAGATGCAGAGAAAGCCTTTGACAATTTGAACTGGACATTTCTGTTTAAATTTCATGAATTTTGGAGAAAATTTTACAAAATGGGTGAATTTGATTTACGCTTCACAGGCAATTTAAATAATTGTTAACAGAAACCACTCTAAGGAATCTTGAGCTTCAGTTCTGTACAAGTAGTTCAGAATACAGTAAAATGTGTAAAATTGCATGGATAGGATGCAGCAGCTTGCAATTAAACCATGGGGTACAGTATATTTTAATTACTACTGAACTTAGCAAAAGAATGCACATCTACATTTTGAAAATATGCCAAACGGCAAAATTTAATCTATAAATTTTTTACATGTCTTGTACTGCTGCAACAGCTGACCTTGTTTGGCTTTATGAACACTTTTTATCTAGTACTGTAAAGTATCTAAATGTGTTCCAACATTGTGATATAAATGAATATATTTGTTTCTCTTTTCCTACCTATGAAGGCTTCCCATGCACCAATGGGCATTGCCTAAAGAAATTGACCTAATTGCTAAATTTTACAGTTTCAGGAACACTTCTCCCTTGCTCCAAATTTTTACTTTTAAAAAAAGAAACCTGAAACAATTCCCTCATCCTTGAAATCTGCACTACTGCTGCTATGTTCACACACCTTCCCTGGATGCCTACCATCCAACAGTATTAAGACCCATAAGCATTGCAGGTTGTGGAAAGCTACAGTTCCATTCCTCCCTCACCTGATGGCTATATGGTTGACGGGTACCATCCTGGTTTTGACTGGCTTTTTCAAGGTTTTGGCCGATTCTTTCCTGGTCTTGACTGGATCCTTCCATGTGATAGCTTGCTGCACTTCTAACATTCCCAAGCCACCATATTCATCTGAACAAAAAAATCAATATTGGGCACTCTGAATGAAAGAAGAGAAGCTACAAGAGCCTACTATGCAAAGCCTAAAGGGTGTGAAGACCTCTCTCCTTCAAGTGACTTGAATGGAGCTGGCACAAGTGATGGGAACAGAGAAAACTCATCAGTATCCTCAGCAAAACACAAACAACTCACTCTAGAGAGGGACTGGGTTCCAGGCAGGCATGGACACGAGGGAGGGCTAATGGGGATGTCAGTATAGGGTGAATTCAGAGGGATGTAAGCTGTACTCTAGCCCATCCATAGAGCTGTTCTAGGATAAATGACATTTTCCATTTATGAGAAAAGTAAATAAAAACACCATGTTGACTTGGTGTACCCAACTATTGACAGTGTAGGTGAAATGAACCTAGTAAAGAATTATATCCTGTCCCCTTACTTGTTTAGGCCATTAATAAATACTTTATAATTCACTTATGCTATCTGCATTTCTGCTATTAGTTTCAAAACTTGGTCAGGAATTTTTGTTCTCCAAGGCAATACACATCAACACCATGATCTATAGATAAGGCAGAAGCTCATTTAATCTTCAGGAATTTAATTCAGATCCAAACAAGAGAACAAAAACCAACCCTCAATATACTGCATTTGTGCTAGTTCATAGTACCCATAGGATGACCGGATGCTCTGAGCCTTCACGAGATCCTTGGAGCTGGCTTTCCAACTGCCATACTGCGAGGTAGAACCCTGGGCCTCTGTGACCTCACCTGGGTTCAGGCGGCACTTTTCTATCCAGGACTTTGGAAACTGCAAAGCACAGTTTAGCCTTTGCTATAATTCTGTATTCAAAGATTGGCTCTTTAATCCACGGTCAAAACCCTCTCTTTTTTCTATGTTGACTCCTGGTGGTAATTGACTGGACAAGTCCCTGCAGTTTTCTTGGGAAGAATTCAGAAGTGGTTTCCCCTCCTTTTTCCTAGGGTTGAGAGAGAGGTCCCAACTGGCTCTGGGCCTAAGGGGGCTAGAACTTTCCAGTTTCTAGCCTGGTGCCTTTAACCAAAGTGGCTGCCCAAAATTACAGAGACATTAAGTGAAAGGCTTTACAATGGGGGGCAATAACAAAATAAGCACAAGTCTGATGAACTAAGGCTGAAGTTCCAAAAGCTTTCTAAATATTGAGGGATGCAGTAAATAACACTAAATATTGCTTGGGCAGTCATGCCACTGAACAGATGCCAACGGGTCCTTCCAGGGGTTGGGACGAAGTACTGAGTGATGCACAATAGAGCTGTGTTCAAGGCCTGGTTCTCTTCAACATATTTATGACATTTTAATTATTTTTATTGCTTTTAAATTAATAACAAAAAAGCACTTTAACAAAAAGGAAATACAAAGAGCAGAAAATATTGTATGATAAATTATTTTAACAGGAAACAACTACAATTCTCTATATAATTATCTAATGCAAATATTATTCAGGTACATATACCCTGTTTTCCCCAAAATAAGACATCCCCTGATAATAAGCCCAATCGGGCTTTTGAGAGCATGGCAATAAGGACAAGAACTTATTTCAGGGTTCAAAAAAATATAAGACAGGGTCTTATTTTTGGGGAAACACGGTATATATTTCTAATATATTTCTGTAACAATCATATTTTAACTTTTACTGTATCTTGTATAAATGAGTCCCATATTTCATCACGGTTATATACAAACTCTACGTCTATAGGAAATCTTATCATTATTCATCGATTTATTTATATTGTGAGGGAATTCCACTTCATATATTTGGAAAATGTTTTCAGAAAATAAATTCTTTGTTTATAAAAATCCATGGGATTCTTCGATTCAGAAAATATCTTCACAGGAAATGCAATTATTAATTAATGAGGCAGGATTCAGTTTTCAAAATTTGAAATTATATAATCTTGCTTACCTATTGTCAATTATTAAATAAATTTGGTTTAATTTTCTGATTTGGGCAATTTTGGAATATGCATATATAGCACCTTTGGTTGGATGGACAGTATTAGGATGTAAAAATATTAAAACTCTGGAAATAATTATCTTAGTTAGAAAGTTATGAATATAATGTAAAAAAAAATAAGATTCAACTCTTTTTCCCATGCTAAAGTGATTTATGGAAAAACTGGATGGAAGCAGAGATAGTGACTTTGAACCAACTGATTATGAAGATGATTTTTTAAACCTATGTTGTGTTAAGGGACAAATGCCATCTATCAGATGTAACAGGTTGTCAATATTTGTTTGCTAACAACATTGTTTGGACCAACCTATCTATGAATGACTTGAATGAGGAGTTAGAAAATAAGATGATCATGATCATACTTGCAGATAACACAGTTAAGGTAGCAAATCGTAAGCACGATTTAGTGGGATCTTGACAAGCTTGAAGCATGGGCAGAAATCAGGAAGATGAACCTCAGTAAGAAGAAATGCAGAGCTGTCCAGGGCACCATAGCAGGAAGTGGTACCACTGTGCATGTGAAAAGATCCTGGGTATTTTGCTAGATCATAAACTGAACACCAGTCCACAATGTAAAATGGCTGCAGAAAAAGGAATTGCAATCCTAAACTATATTTATGTATATACAGTTGTGCTCATAAGTTTACATACCCGGGCAGAATTTATGATTTCTTGGCCATTTTTCAGAGAATATGAACGATAACACGAAAACTTTTCTTTCACTCATGGTTAGTGTTTGGCTGAAGCCATTTATTATCAATCAACTGTTTACTCTTTTTCAATCATAATGATAACAAAATCTACCCAAATGACCGTGATCACAAGTTTACATACCCCAGTTCTTAATAGGGTGTATTGCCCTCTTTAACATCAATGACAGCTTGAAGTCTTTTGTGGTATGTGTGGATGAGGCTCTTTATCTTCTCAGATGGTAAAGCTGCCCATTCTTCCTGGCAAAAAGCCTCCAGGTCCTGTAAATTCTTGGGCTGTCTTGCATGAACTGCATGTTTGAGATCTCCCCAGAGTGGCTCAATGATATTGAGGTCAGGAGATTGAGCTGGCCACTCCAGAACCTTCACTTTATTCTGCTGTAGCCAATGACAGGGTGACTTGGCCTTGTGTTTAGGATCATTGTCATGTCCTAATGTCCAAGTACGTCCCATGTGCAGCTTCCGGGCTGATGAATACAAATTGTCCTCCAGTATCTTTTGATAATATACGGCATTCATCGTGCCATCAATTCTGACCAAATGTCCTGTGCCTTTGTAGCTCACACATCCCCAAAACATCAGCGATCCATCTCCGTGTTTCACAGTAGGAATGATGCACTTTTCATCATAGGCCTTGTTGACTCCTCTCCAAATGTAGCATTTATGGTTGTGGCCGAAAAGCTCAAATTTAGTCTCATCACTCCAAATGACTGTGCCAGAAAGTTTGAGGCTTGTCTCTGTGCTGTTTGGCATATTGTAAGCGGGATACTTTGTGGCATTTGTGTAGTAATGGCTTTCTTCTGGCGACTCGACCATGCAGCCCATCTTTCTTCAAGTGCCTCCTTATTGTGCATCTTGCAACAGCCACATGTTTTCAGAGAGTCCTGTATTTCACCTGAAGTTATTTGTGGGTTTTTCTTTGCATCCCGAACAATTTTCCTGGCAGCTGTGGCTGAAAGTTTAGTTGGTCTACCTGACCGTGGTTTGGTTTCAACAGAACCCCTCATTTTCCACTTCTTGATTAGAGTTTGAACACTGCTGATTGGCATTCTCAATCCCTTGGATATCTTTTTATATCCCTTTCCTGTTTTATACAGTTCAACTACCTTTTACCAAAGATCCTTTGACAGTTCTTTTGCTTTCCCTATGACTCAGAATTCAGAAACATCAGTGCAGCACTGGATGAAGGATGCAAGGGTCTGTCAGGAGGCCAGAAACTCATTGACCTTTTATACACACACACTAATTACATGCAAACAGATCACAGGTGAGGATGGTTACCTTTAATGGCCATTCACACCCCTTTGTGTCAACATGTGTGCATGTTATCTGGCCACAATCACTGGGGTATGTAAACTTGTGAGCAGGGTCATTTGGGTAGCTTCTGTTGTCATTATGATTGAAAAAGAGTAAACACAGTTGATTGAAAATAAAGGGCTTCAGCCAAACACTAACCATGAGTGATATCATTCATATTCTCTGAAAAATGGCCAGGAAATCATAAATTCTGCCAGGGTATGTAAACTTATATGAGCACAACTGTATTTATGAAACTAATTTTTGTAGCTACCTAGCTGACAGCTCTGACTAAGTCTGGGCAGCTTACAAGAGGGGTGTCAAATTAGATTTCATTGAGCGCCGCATCAGGGTTGTGTTTGACCATGGGAGGATCAGGGGGCCATGGCCAGGGTGGGCATGGCCAGTTCAACGTCACTCATGTGATCAAATACCACTTTTGCTAGTAGTTTGTTTCGCTAGCACTCTGCCAGTGAAAGTGGAGCTCATGACAGCCATGAACAGCCCTCCCATGCTCCGTTTTCGGCTGCGACAGCCTCCTGCAACCCTCTGCCAGCGAAAATGGAGCTTGGCCCTCCCAGGCTCCATTTTCGTTGGCAGAGGCACCGTAGGTCAGTACTTTGCTGTTTCCAGGGTGGCCCCGCAGGCCAGATCTAAGCACCCTGCAGGCTGGATCCGACCCGTGGGCCTTGAGTTTGACACCCCTGGCTTACAACATTGTACCCGCAGAAATATAGTGTCAAAATCAAGAGAAGCCGATTTTATCCTCCATTCCACTGAGGTCATACCCAGAATATTGTACAAAAGCTCAGGTTTCAAATCAAGGATGGTAGAGAGAATAATTGAATATTCATGTTCTCCTTTTTTAAAAAAAATCTTTCATAAGAATCTCTTATAGAAATCCATCAGGTGCAAACAGGACTTCCACCTGTGTTTTTTAAATCGACATTGGGGAAAATCTTGCTTTTTCTGGCTTGGTCCGCCCAGCCCAGATTCTGCAGAGCCACATCAGAATAGAATCGGAAGGAACCTTGGAGATTTTCTAGTCCAACCCCGTGCTCAAGCAGGAGACCCTATACCCGTGATGGTGAACCTATGGCATGCGCATACCAGAAACCGGAAGCTCAGCTTCCCGGTGGGTGCATGCACGCTGGGGAACTGCTCTTCCCGTTTCCTGCGCTCCCACGCATGTGCGCCAGGGAGCTGCTCTTCCAGTTTCTGGTGCTCCCCCCCCCCCGTGCATGCACTCCTGTTTCAGCACTTGGTGCCGAAAAGGTTCACCAAAACCACCCTATACCATTTCAGACAGCTTGCTATCCAATCTTTCCTTAAAAACCCCCAGTGATGAAGCACCTACAACTTCTGGAGGGAAGCTTCTTCCACTTGTTGATTGTCCTCCCCTTCAGAAAGTATCTCCTTAGTTCTAGGTTGCTTCTCTCCTTGGTGAGTTTCCATCCGTTGCTTGCCTTGCCTTCTGGTGCTTTGGAGAATAGGCTGACCCCCTCCTCTTTGTGGCAGCCCCTCAAATACTGGAATACTGCTAATATGTCCCCCTGGTCCATCTTTTCTATAGACTGGCCATCCCCATTTCCTGCAACCGGTCTTCATGTTTTATTTTCCAGGCCTTTAATCATCTGAGCAGCTCTTGTCTACACTTCTTCCAAAGTCTCAACATCTTTTTTGCAATGTGGGGACCAAAACTGGATGCAGGATTCCAGGTATAGCCTTATGT